GACTCGCCAACTGCGTTTTGTTCTTTTTTGTTCAGCCGTCGTGTGTGTGTGTGTGTGTGTGTGTGTGTGTAAAACTAGTCACTGTTTTCTAAAGCCTGTAACTGCAACACAATATTGATTTTGTGTTAAGGGAAGGCAGTCTGAGCTATATTGAGCATTGCTGTCACATCCAGGCACCCTGGGATTAACACACATTGGGCCCAAACTTGGTGGAGGGAAGGCCCAAGATCAAAGGCCAGTGTCCTTTCCTGCCTCCTCGCCCCACAAAGGGAACACCGACCTCCTGCAGCAACATGCTCAGCCCTGGCATCGCAACCCTAATCCCAGCCTGGTGCAGTGGGGATTGAAGAGGTGGCTCCTGTCCCATGGGGCTAGGGGCATCTGAACCAAACCTGTGCGGAACTGCAACCCTGTGCGCCAGGTTGCAAAACCCAGAGCACAGAGCTAGGCCCAGGGCCGTGGGACAGGAGATGCTGCTTGCAGGGTGAGTGCAGGGGCGGGTGCTTGCTTTCCAAACCTCCTCTGGGGCCTCCCTCTGCACTGGGCCCGTGACCCACTGTGTGGGGTACACTGGCATAAGGGATGGGGAGACCCCAACCACCTCTCGGTTCTTTCTCACCACCTGTGCAGTTGGAGTGTCCAAGCCTCTTCACTTGCTGTGCAGTTTTGCCCATTGGTCTGTAAGCAGTATCTCCTCCTTTAACAGGAAGGAATCTTATTTATTTTTTATTGCCTGAGAGTCTGCCCTGGTACCAGGATCAGTCCTCATGACTGAGCACAAAGCTGCAGGCTTTAAAAATTGCTTATCATATGAGGTGCTTATCATACCTGCTGCTTTGGCACCAATATCAAGTCGTTCTATACACGATGCTTCTTAATTATGGGAACCTGCAGCTTACTGTGATGTGGTCTACATTTTGCTGGCATGGCTGTCTTGGTTTGGAGTGTGGAAAAAAATCACCCTCATAATAACATAGCATAGCGGTGCTCTTTTCCCAGTATAAGCTGCATCTCCATTTGGAGGGTTTGCCAGTAGAGCTCTACCAGCACACCCTCTCTAGTATAGAAAAGGCCTGTGTATGAGTGAGGGCACATCAGGATATCCGCAAGCACCTCTCAGAGTAGATGGTGTCTCACTCTGGGCTATTTAAGAGGTGACACGCAGTGCCATTCAACGGGAAAGGCGCTGACACAGGGGTGCCAGCATCCTAGGAACAGTAATAAAATCTGATGCATCACTCGTGACTTGTGCCTTCTAGGGTACGTCTATACTTATCCGCTAGTTCGGCGGCCAGCAATCTACCTTCTGGGATCAATTTATCGTGTCTTGTCTAGACGTGATAAATCGATCCCGGAAGTGCTCGCCGTCGACGCCGGTAATCCTGCTCCGCGAGAGGAGTAGGCGGAGTCGACGGGGGAGCCTGCCTGCCGCATGTGGACCCGCAGTAAGTACCTTTAAGTTCGAATTAAGATACTTCCACTTCAGCTACGTTATTCATGTAGCTGAAGTTGCGTATCTTAGTTCAAACTGGGGGCTTAGTGTGGACCAGGCCTTATTCAGCACTAGATACAATATTCACAAGGGATCCTTCCCACCAGCCCCGTCATGGACTTTTCCTGTAACACTGGGGAGGTACTGAGGGTACACAAAAGTCCCCTTTTCACTGGGATAACCCACCATAGTTTTGTCTTACCTTGGTCACTCAGGTAATGATCTGAGACACAGAAGCATTAGCTAAAACATCTATAAGGCTTACAGTATCTAATACATATATTTATCGTTACATGTTGGCACAGTCCCTTATGTTTAGGGCCCTACCAAATTCATGGTCTATTTTGGTCAATTTCACAGTCATAGGATTTTTAAAATAGTAAATTTCATTATTTCAGCTATTTCAATCTGAAATTTCACTGTTTGTAATTGTAGGGATCCTAACCCAAAAAGGAGCTGGGCGGGGGTCGCAAGGTTATTGTCGGGAGGGTTGTGGCACTGCTACCCTTACTTCTGCGCTGCTGCCTGCAGAGCTGGGCCCTCGGTCAGCAGCCGCCACTCTCCGGCCACCCAGCTCTGAAGGCAGCAGCGCAGAAGGTACGGTATTGTCAGGGTTACATCTGTGCTGCTGCTGGCGGGGTGCCGCCTTCAGAGCTTAGCACCTGGCCAACAGCTGCTGCTCTCTGGCCGCCCAGCTCTAAAGGCAGCTCAGGAGTGAGGGTGGCAATACAGTAACCCCCTAAAATAACCTTGCGACTCCCCTGCAACTCACTATTGGGTCAGGACCCTCAATTTGAGAAATGCTGGTCTCCCCCGTGAAATCTGTATAGTATAAGGTAACAGCACACAGAAGACCAGATTTTACAGGGGAAGATCAGACGTCACGGTCCATGACGCGTTTTTCATGGCCGTGAATTTGGTAGGGCCCTACTTATGTTCTGCAGCCACAGAATTTGTCCCTTGCCACAAAATTCTGTTCCCGATAGGGCTTTTTTATTTTATAATAAAAATGTACAATCCGTCTTGCTCTCCTGGTTGTGAAAATAATCTTGAAGATGTGAACCCATGCCTTGTCTACACTAGGAATTAGGACCCACTTCAGCCACTGGTGGCCAGTAGCAAGTGTAGCTGCACAGATACAAACCTTTAATGTAAACAAGGAAAGATGTTTTCGCCACAGCCCTTACGGACATAGTTATGCCAATATAGGTTTTAACTGTAGACCAAGCCTGAGACAGTAATGCTTCTGCT